AACTACCTTTCCAGAGGCCAACTACCCTGTTAGAAAATAAAACTGTCTTAGCTGAAGATGACTCCTACCCTGCCAAAATTTATACTTGTGTTCCCTAGACTTACCATTCTCACTGTTAAGTATGAAAAAATATGATGCATGAACACAATCAATTCCTTTCATAATCAGATCCCCCACAAACTTTTCTTTTTTCAAGAGAAAACAATTTGAGAGATTTCAACCTCTCCTCATATGACAACCCCTCCATCTCAGGCACCATTCTAATAACTCCTTTCAGAACACTTTCCAACAATTCAATGTCTTTCCTAAGGTAAGGAGCTCAAGACTGAACACAATATTCCAAATGTAGCCTAACCAGTGACCTATAGAATGAAATTATAACGTCTTTAGACTTGTATTCAATATTTCTGTAGATACAACCTAAAATCCTATTTGCCCTACCAATAGCAACAGCACAGTGCTTAGATGGCTTTGGAGACTGATCAACTATTACACCAAGATCCCCTTCTTTCATGACACTATTAAAGTTATTCCCATCCAATTTATACTTGTAATTCAAATTATGATAGCCCACATGCATTATATTGCATTTATTATAATTAAAACTCATCTGACATTTATTTGCCCAGCTCACTAAATGATCTAAATTCTTGTGTAAAGCAGCAACATTCTCTTCACAGTTAGCAACACCCAAGACCTTAATATCATCTTCAAATTTAAATAATTTATTGATTATTCCTTCACCTATGTCATTGATGTAAATCAAAAAGAACAAAGGTCCTAAGTCTGAGCTCTGAGATACCCCACTTGTGAAATTACTCCAGTTTGACTGAACTCCATTTGTAACAGCCCTCTGCTTTCTTGCATCCAGCCACTCTTCTATCCAAATAGCTAACATTAAGGTAGATATAAACAAAGTTTTTAATCATTATGTGAATTGGACTTCACAATATTTTCACTAAGTAAGTCAGAAGAACCTGCCAATGAAAGAATACATTACAACCATTTTTATAATATTAATTTGTGTGTGTTTTTAATATACGTGTTAAAAACATTTGCAGACATTTATATATTTTTTTTAGTAATTAAAGAAGGTGAATATTGTCAAATAAAGTAGCCAAAAATTAAAAAGAATTTAGCTCCAGATTACATCTATTACTATAAAGCATTGTTATCAGCTATATTTATAATGTAATATATTTAATTTAGCTAGAGGGTGCATCATGTTAAGATTAAGCAAGTCCTAGAACAAGTTAAGAAGGCAGAGAGTTGTATCAGGAAGATTGTATAGTTATTAAAGATAGCTTGTAAATCAGTCAGTGTGTTTTCATTGCAGCTGTAAAGTTGTATGAGAAATTTATTATTTTACATTAATCCTAGTATTGTTAGAGAAGTTTGAAGTAATTTGTAATATAAGCCTACAACAATATATGATGGATAACTGTTCAAGCTTGTAGAAATGTGAAGAAATAAATAACTGATTCCTTCTTATTATGTGGACTGGACTTGAGAGTTATTTTCACCAGATGATTTAGAAACAACCTGCCAACCAAAGAACCCAATACTGTAGTATTATACTTTCTATTAGTTTATAATTCATGAATTTAAAGTTTACACATGAAGTATTAAGTATGAGTATTGTTTGTTGTTTATTAGGGTAACTACTTAGAGTCTATGAAAAAGAAACTCCATAAATTAACTCTTATATTTCACTTTATTCAATTTTGTTAAACAGTTACAGAACACGGTGAAAGAATGTACGAACCACACCACACTAATGAAATCTAGTCTGTGTAGGACATGTTGTACCATAGCACACAAAAGAGTATTTTTTTTTAAGTAATAAGTAAAACAAATCATGTATGCTTTTCATCTTTAACTCAGATAACCTAGTTGTCCTTAACAAAGATTTGAAATAAGCAAACTTTTTTTATATATACACAGAAAGAGTATTACAATTTATAAACACTACACAGAACAGGTTCTGGTACACACATACACACACCTGTAAGATGGTATGCATGGTAAAATCTATATTTCAACAAAACCTGCACAAAAATTGGCATGATTTGACATTTTGAAAGCTCATACAAATATATTGCACTTTTCAGAGATAGAATAAATACTAACTCGAACAGTGTCAACAAGTTTCCATTTCTAAATGAAAATAAACCAACCTAAATTTGTGTTTTTACCAATCCAATTTTAAGCTTTACATTCTAGAGATTAAAACTGTATGTATTTTATTTTGTATCCCGATCTAGGACTGGTGGAGTGTTGTGGCTTATAGTACAGCTGAAGAATATGATCTAAGTGATCTTATAGATGGCTTGAAGAGACAAGGCCTTTACCAACAATCAGCAATGCCTGAAGATATGAATGATGTGTTACATGTGTGTGCAAAGTATCAAGTGGACAAAGAACCACGAGAAGCATATTTTTTCAGGTAAGAATTAGTTATAAGAAGTTTTATTTTATTCCAAGTTGGAGCAGTTTCTTTAAGTTGTCTTTAGTTTGTTAAAAGTAATGATAATGCAGGTTGTTTTAGGAATGATGACTGGTTTTATAATATTAAAGTGACACAAATTATAAGTTTTTTACTATTACCTCAGAACAATGAAAGTATAGTCCATGTAGTGTTTAAGCTTGGTTAATTTGATATAGAAATGATTGGCTGAAGTTTATTTTATTTTTAGTTGTACCTAAACAGTCGTTTGACACTTGCTTGTAAATTTTATTTTGTACTTTGTACTTTTATTTCTTTTAATTGAGAAGGCAGGGCCGGATTTAGCTGTGGTGCAACCCTGTGGCACTTAACTTCTTGGAGGCCCCCTATTATGTAGAACTAAATTTTTGTAATTATATATATATATATATATATATAAATAACAAGCACAGTGTTTAATACTGAATTTATTACAATTGAAAACATAATAACAGTTCAAAATATTTCATAATTTCCTTCTTTAATTAGATTATTTGTTTTCTGACTTTGGTTGCTGCAAATTCTGATATAATCTCATCCATATTTAGTGCATGCAGGATATCTACTTCAGTAGAGAGAGTGATCAAATCTACCAGTCTTTGTTGCCCCATAGTAGAACAAAGAGCATTCTTGATAAACTTCGTTGTGCCATACGTTTGTCAGTCAACTACCATAAATAATAATTGACTATATGTTGTCAAATATTCAATTTTCATTCAAATTGTAAAAAATAAAAAAGAAAAAGGTTAATTTTAGAATAATTTCTTGTGACTTGCCATCATTCTTTAAATAATTTCTGTTTAGGGTAAACTATCTTGATTAAATAAAAAATATTTGTGAATTTATTGTAACATAATTTGAGTTTTGTGAGAGAGCCCCCCTCCCCCAAGTGCCCCATTGTTAATCCTAGACTGTGAGAAGGTATTATGAGTTACTTATTTTTCAGCACTCTCTGCATGTTTCTGTTACTCTGAAAGAAGCATTAAATTCAAGATTTCCACTTTGGACCATTTTCAAATAAAGTTTGATCTGAAATTGTATGTGAAATAAGTTACTAACACTTCTGATGAATGTTGAATATTTCATGTGGCCACATAGTCAATGTAAAGAAGTTAGTGTGTTTACTTTAAATATTCTAATAATTTGGTTATATTTCTGTTTGTTTTTTCCTGTTAGTTCTTAGTGTATTACTTATACGTTCTTAAATTAAACCTTTTGTGAAAAAAAATGTAGATATAAGATTATTATGTGTGTTAATAATGCTTGGAGATGTTTCGACAAGGTTTTTTTTCATTATCCATTCAAGCCGTCTCCAAGCATTATTAGTCTCAAAGTGGGTTCCTCGTTGTCGAATATGTGCATTAATGTTCTGATTTTCTTTTCAGTCAATGATAGGCCATAATGCTTTGGGTTATGACTTGGTGTCTCACAATATTGTGTATTAAAATCTGTAATTGCATGTAATTTTAGCATATGCTACTGCATGTTGTTTTGATGAATAAACTGGTAGATTAACCTTCTTCTAAACATATTCTGAAATAGGCTTATTTAGTAGTTTATCAGAAAAATAGTCACAGAATTCAGTTTTTATTCATATTTGACAACTTAGTGAATACCAGCTTAAGACGTGTGTGTATGAAAGTCTTGGAAGTGATACAAATAACACAGGTTTCATGCATACCTTATTGATGCTTGAGAGACTTGTGTTATATTGACCAACATCTGTATTTCTGTTGGTGACATTTGTAATGGTGAAATTCTTTAAAACCTCAAATGACATGCTTTCATGTGTTACATTTTAGAATTTCTATTTTTTTTTAAACATGCTACCTTTTCACCAGTTAGTTATATTATAATTCTCTTAAAAATGTGTATAATTTAATTTTAATTTAGTAAATGAAGTATAAAAATAATCATAGTTGTATCTTGTTTTTATAATAACATGTCCTCTCAGAAAATAATTAGATATAAAGCTAGATAAAAGTGTTGAAGATATTGGTCAATTCCTTGAGAATACAGTGTTTTGGCAACCAAGTGTTCATAAGGTTAGCACTTTTCATATTTCTAGAAAGTTAATGTCATATTTGAAAATATGAAAAATTGATGAAAATTGCTGTAAGAGAGAAATAATAGACTTCATGGGGACTTTCTGTGGAAAACAAATGTTTATCTTCATGCTGATTAGAATTAAATTTACATTAAAGATGATATTTTTGGAAAACTGCTATTAATGGTTCTATTTTGTTCTGCATATTTCATTATATATATATATACTTCACTTTCATCTCTGAAACCAAGTATTCCTTTTTAGTGAAGGATCTGTAGTTTTCTGGAATGTGCCTGAAATAGAAGTAAGTAAAATTATTTTTGTTTAAATGAATATTGCTGCTTATGTAATATTGTTGTACACTGATTGTAGCTTTTGTGTATTTTGATGAAGGTTCGGTGGCAGAGACCTTGGAAATTTCTGTAAAAAATTATCACATATAATTTTCTTATATTTCTCCACCGTAGTCTTAGAGAGACAATTAAATCAGTATTTAAAGATCTTATACAGATGCTTTAAAACGTTGAAAATTCTTGAAAAATTTTATTTTATAAATTGAAGGCCTTGAAAACCTGTAAAGTACTATATTTTATTGTTAAAGTTTTTGGGAGAGTTTTTGAAAATAGTAACTTTTAGTAAAACAGGTACATTGAAGACTAACTTACTAACCACTGTGTGAAAAAAAAATCTGATATTGTCATACAGTGATTCAAAGAGTGCTTCTTCTCACTGCATCTTTTTTTCCAGGCTCCTCTTTCTGTCTCAATTTGTTCTTGAGTTTGACCATTTTTCAAAATTCCAATTTCATACATACCATTGTAATGAAAATGATGGACCTTAAATGTAATACTGGCCTTTGAACTACTTTCACCAAAAGTTAACCAGTTTTTCCTTGGGTACACGTCACTGTTGTACCAAATCCGATCAAAATGAGATGAAAATGTTTCAAGTGAAAATAATATCTTCACGGTTGGGCAAAGGTACAATTCCAGTTCCTGTAAATGTTTAAACTTTGCTACGATATCTTCATGTAGAAACATGTTCAGAGACTAGAGGGGCACTTAGTAGAGCACATATCTCCATCACACAGCATTGATCATACTTGGCCCTCAAAAAATACAAAACGGTGTCTGTATGTCCATCATTATCAATGGACATGGACCATTTTTGGCAGGACAATGAGGAATAACATATTACATGTGTCCACCAAGTTTCTTCAAAATATGATCATTTTTGATTGAGCTATAGAGCAAAAATATTGTGAAAAATTGGTCCGCATGTTAACAGATTTTCGTGACCTACACATTTTGACCTTGAGCCTTCAAAAACTAATCACTTCCAAATATTTACAAACTTTTATCCACATTCATTCATCTATTTTTGAGAAATCTTGCTGACAAACACACACACACACATATAAACTCACAGGAGTGAAAACATAAACTCTGTCACCTTTGAGGGTGGAGGTAATAAGGAAGGTCGCATATTCTGCTCTTCCATGCTAATAGTTATATTTGATGATTAACAACTCTACTTGTTACATAAGAATATTGGAGAGATAATTCAGTTGTCAAATCAGTGTTAAATAGACAATGAAAATTCATTGGTACCAGTTTTTTTTATAATTATATCAGAGACTTTTAAGTAACAGGAAGTGGTGTGTAATTGTAACATCGATCTGCAAAGTTTTGTTCCTCAACTGATCTTATAATTTCTTACATTTTGTTAAAATTAAGTGCCAATTAAATAAAGATGTTTGATAAAACATAATTCTGATTGTATGTAGAGTATGCAGTTGGACTATTTGTTCAACTGATGAAGTATTAAGATATAACTGTGTGTCCAATACTCAAACCATGTTATTCTGGACATGGAGAACATGTATATTGTATACTTGTGTCTCTGTCTATAGAAAGTGAAAAATATCAACTGAGGTTAATTCTGAAAAAATAAAGTTACCATTTTGTGTTGAACCACTTAAACATTGTTAAAATAACGTTAGGAAAATATGAAGCTATAGTCTGTGAAAAGTGTTTCATGTTTTTTTTTCTTACAAACTCTGTCAGTCTGAAACTTCCATTATGTATCAAAACATTTCTGTGATAAAAATGTAAATCAAAACATTGGGAAATTTGATAGACAATTTTATCTGGTTGAAAAAAATTGTCTTCTATGTCAATATCTATTACTTGTTCTTTTATACCTTGTAAACTGTAATCTCCATCAATTGTTAGAGAGACCTTGATCATTGTTAGACCAAATAAGTAAGTAAATATTGTTCTGCCTGTTGTTTGATAGCAAACAAAGCATGAATAGAAAGGAGAAAACAGCAAGGGATTTATGTATGTGTACTAATTGGGCACTATCTTATTTTGTTTTATTTTGTGCATTCTATTAGGCATCCAGCCAGTTTTTATAGTTCAATCTATTGATATCATTCATGATGTAAGCCTATCAAACTGAATTGGAACCAATATATCAGATGCATTAATCACTGCAAAATAAACTATAAAAAAAAAAATCAGCACATTCAAGAAATGACCAAGTTTTTCTGAAAATGTTGTTCTGTAACATTGGTTTTCATATTTGATCCTGTACAATTATTGTGTAGTTTCCATTTTGTGGTTTATTAGCATTTGAGAAAAATTTTCATGGCTAAGTTGAATGTTTTTAGCAACAAGCAGTGCTGAAATTTTTAAAAGCCTACGAAACAAACTCATATGAGGAAAGTATTGTTTCTGAAGAAAAGGAGGTAATGGAATATTTGTATACAGAGTAAGTACATTTTTTCAGTCCTTTTTGTTATTCTTAATTTTCAAGCATAAGAATAATTTATTTCAAAATGCATGATATTTAACTTTAGGGGAAATTCAACATCTCCACACAACACAGTAAATAATTTTGAATCTTAGTTCCTAAGAATTAACAGTCACGATAAATTAAGTCAAGCACTACTACCTTGTGCAATACTGGACTATTTTGTGGACTTTTATGTATTAGGCTTAAACAAAGACAGTAGTTTTGTAACTGGATCCTCTGCTTCTGTGTATGTTTATTTCATAATGTGTTTGAATATGAAATTTTAACATATTATGCCTAAGTACTTTTTTAGAACATTAGGTTTAGAAAGTAATGATTTTAAAGTACCTTTATCTCCCAGGACCACTTTTTGAGCATGAAATGTTTTACGTCGTTTTTAAAATGTTTAGACAAAACATTTACCAATATATTGAAAGAAAAAAACTTGCCTAAATTTTAGGATTTTCAACATAACAAAATCATTTTAATATGAAAGAAATTGTACCAATAAAATATTTTGAAAAACATTTAATTATGATTTTTCTAATTTGTATTATATATCTTCTAATGAAAGAGCAAATATAAAATACGTATTTATAAATGAAAGCAACTGAATTGAAATGAATCATGTTTAACGTAGGACTTTTTATTTTTTGAGTTTGATCATTTGTTATAGCCCTTACGTGTTTATATGCATGTATTCACAGAACTTAAGTCATATATTTTTAATGTTGCCTAATAATCTTTTAATTGTTTTTCTCCCAGTGATATGTTGATATGTATGGAAGTTATTCTATATCATAACACAGCAAAAAGTATTTTCTGTAAGGTGATACAGCAACTATCGTTTTCCAGTTTAACAAAAAATATAATTTAAATAATATTTCACAAAGTTTTTCCTTATCATATTCTGTTAAATCTGCTCTTAACTTTTAATGGAGGAAGTTGAAATAAAAACAGAAAAATACTTCTTGACATGAATAATTTGTATGCTTGAAAATCTTAACACAATTCAGCATAAAAATACAATTGAAAAATATTCAAAAGAGTATAAAATACCACTTTCATTATTCCTTTAGCTTAATTTCTTCATACACTCTGACTGCAATACCTTCAAGTCATGATTTATAATAATAGATAAATATATCATACATTGTATATTTGAATTGAAAAATTGCTGCTTTGTTGAGTTATTAGTCCTATAAGCACAATATTATTATTAGCTTCTTTTTTTATGTCATATATTTATTATACAGGTAAGAAATGAAAAATGCAAAACTTTATATTAAAAACGTGCTTATAACCCATTATTTGCGAGTAACTAAATATTTAAGTTTGAGTTCCAATTCATGCACTGTATTTTCTTTTCTTGTCATCTTAGTTTAACTGTATTATTGTTATATTTGTGCTAATTTTAAACTTGGAAAGTTGAAGTCTATATAGTTTTTAAAATATGTATTTTGCATGTGTACAGGTTTATACAAACTAAACTGATCTGGTGCAGTCTTATATAATTGTATGTAAAGTTATTAAACCCTTAAATAACTGTGGGATTTTGGGAATTATGTTTGGCCAGTGGTGTTTATTGATAATTGTTTGGTTTGCATGAAAATTAAAACTGTTTAATTCAGTATGAAAGTTTAAGAAAATTATCATTTAAGCATGGACAGTGAACTACAGCACTCTATTAAGTTATTAGTGTATGTTGAGCTTTCAATAGGCATACTGGTAACATTTTTATTTCTTTTTATTTAACACATGCACTTGAAATGAATTTTGTTCTTGTTTTACCAAAAAAAAAACAATTTTTTAATGTGAACATTTGTAGGATATTCAATTTTTTTACATTAATACAAAGAAAGGTAATATTTCTCTATTGTTCTCTTTAATACACACACTATTAACATTTATTTTTTCTATTAATACACAGACTGATAAAATTTCTCATTTTACATTTATTATATAATGACTTTTTTTGTTCCTTTTTTTTTTCCTATTAATACATCACCAGTAACATTTCTGTGTTTTCCATTGAAGTACACATTAATAAGATATCTCCATATTTTTCTATTAATTTTCTATTCTTGGATAGGGATCAAAGTGCACATGTCATAACCTTTTACAGAGTACCATTCAACATGGTACTGTGTGTATATGATGTCAGAGTTGTCAACTATTCATTTCTCCCTACTTTGCTGATGTAATGACAGTTTGTGGTAGAGAAGGGTAAATACCAAATACAATATACAGGGATACTAAAACTAACTGTAAATATGCATTTTGAAGGTCCTAGAAGTCATGTAAATGCAATATTCAAACTGTATGATGGAAAAAAGTATGTTTGTTCTTCATATGAACATCACTTTGCACTCTGATTGACATTGGCAATTCACAGACATATCTTGAGTAAAAAATACTTTTGTATTAAATTATTTTTTGTGTACAACAGACTTGTACATTTGATTAAAAACTTGCCACATTTTGTATAGATAAACATAGTAAATTTGGAATTATAGTCAACATTTCTTTATCCGTATGAGGGTCAGTCCAGTAGACCAACCCTATGCACGTTCGGTTAATACATACATAAGTAGTTTATCTTTTTTTTTTTCCACCGATATGCACATTTGTAACATTTTTTCCTTGTTTTTCATTAATATGCTCTGGTAGCATTTCTTTTTCATTAATGCACACACTGGGAAAAATGAGTTTTCTCTTTTTTTCATTAATACTCATGTAATATTTGTCAGTTTTTTTTTTTGTCTTGATACACAATGGTAACATTTTTTAGTCTTTGTTTCTATAACATTCTTTTAAACTTCTGCATGTTATTAATACAATAAATTAAAAACGTATTATTGGTCTAAATGTATATAATTTCTTTAAGACTGTAGGTGGTGGTTACTATTTCTTTTGTAACACTGATTGAACCAGTTGTTATGAGTTCATTTAATTTGATTTAGAAGGCTGTTCTTTATCATCTCCATCCAGGAAGTCCACCAGAGGAAGGCAAGTTCACTGACATTGGCTGGTACCTAATAAATGTTTGTACAAATTACATGTTTGGTGTGTTTGCTTTGTTTTCTAATTGCATGTTGGTTGTTTGAAACTGTCATGTTTGATTACTAACTTTTTCCCCTTATCTTTACGATAGGTATGGTGTAATAATTTCCATAGTGAATCTTTTACATAAATATCATTTAATTGTAATGTGAAATCAGTACAGGTTTTTTATATTTATACTTAACTTTTATGTTCCCATCATTATAATCTGGTTTTATAAGACAGATTTTCATAGTTAAAATAAGGAATATTAGTTTGTACTATAACAGTTTTTATCGACGATGGTCACTTCTAATGCTAGACTGAAATATTAAAGATTATTAAATTTTAGAAGTTTATTTTTATGAATGTAAAACTATTAACTGTGAAACTTGCATTTGACTCAAACATGTCTTTGTTAAAAGAAAAATGATAAGAAGTATAATATGATTGTAAAATAACAATTCCTCTGAAATATTTGTAACAGTTAATATAATCTTGGTGAGGATATTAATTTATAAGTTATAGAGTTTCTAACTTTGGAATAATTATTCATAGATCTCAACCAGACTGTTACTTTTTTTATTATTTTTCAGTGTGATTAACTAAGGCTTTTAATTAAATTTTGCTTTACTTCAATTTCATACTGTGCATTTTGCAAAGATGATATGAAAATATGAAAGAATCTTAGATAAGTATTTACAGCCACAAATATATATTTAACTTTTTTTTTTTGTATTTCTAGTGAATCAAAAATTTTTAAAACTTGTTTGATTAACATGATTTGTAAGTATTGATTTTGGTTAATCAAGGGAATGGTGTGACATTAATTATTTGGATTGAGTAATGTGTACATGTAATCTTATTTATACTTATTTACTTACTATAAGACATAAATACATGTATGTATTAGAACACAACATGCTTTAATAATAAAGGGTAGTATGAGAAGGCCTGTAATGGAATAATTTGACAAAAATGACTGCTTATGCCACAGGCTTGATTTTTTGCAAGGAAATGCGAGGAACAAATCCCCATAAGCTTTTCAAAGGAAAGAATAATTTTTTTTGAGAGAAAATCCTCATGCATATCCCAGCTATACAAACTGTTCTTTCCCTCTCTTTTTAAACCAGAATTACATCACTGTGCTTACCCATCATAACAAATGAATATAATGAGTCAGATAGTTAATGTGTGACAAATCAGAAGTACTTTTTGATTTAAGCTGCACATTTCGAGAAGAAATATATAAACAAGGAATTAAACTGGTTAGTTAGATGTCACTATAAAACAATTGTAACACCAAAGTTATAATGTCTTGTAAAACAACAGAACTAGTGAAAGGGCTCTCACAATAAGGAAGATACATTTAATGTTTAAAAAATCAAAAGTAGCACTTACAAATTTGGTCTTAGGAAGGAAAAAAAGAACTTCTTTCATCTTCATATCAGACATTGTTATAAAATGCACATTTTGATATTCTGTTGTTTATTTTTTTCCGGATAGTACCTTCACACTTTGTATAATAGGTTTCGAAGATTCTATTCAGCATACTTTTCTTGTAAGTTTTATCAGATTTTTGGAAATACATGAGAAAAATACAGTAATTTAAGTGCCTTTATGAAATGGGAGACAGAAAAGGGATTTGAAGCATGAAGGAGCTTAAAAACATGTTGAAGTTAGGCTAAAGTACCATGATACATATTAAGGTTTGAAATTAGTAGTGACTAGCAAAAAACCACTGGGTTTTGGTTTTTAACCAATGTTCATCGAGGCACACTGACATTATTTTGCCAGTTGATGATCTAGGTGTGATTGTGAACATTTAGGTCAGTAGGAAACAATATTCAAAGTATGAAAAAAGAAAACCAGCTGTAAGCACAACAGTTTGTCAAGAAAGAACACCTAGTCTTTTCTGGTAGCTTGTTGTGCATTGTTCTTGCATACTTTCAATGAGATTCCCAAGTTTAAAATAGCACTTGTTCAAGTGGTGTTTTTAGTGTGTCTTTTTAATTTTTGTTATATTATTATTATAAACTTAGATCTAAAAATTTGATATAATATTTAAAAGAATATTAAATTAAAAATGCAACTTTTCTTGAAAACTGACTTCAGCCGTTTAGTTATATCTGTTATGAGTGTATCTCATGAATTGTTTGTTTTGTTCTATTTTGCCAATATGACTGGCACTTTTACAAGTAACTTTTAAAATAACTCGCATATGTTTGCAATTGGCCAAAATGTTACTTTCAAACCATGCGTATTGCAGATCAAAAACAGTAAACAGAGCACAGTGGCTCCTGAAAGATAGGACAATTCCTAAAAAAAGTTTCATACAAATAATATACCTTAAATCATTATAAGCAGTTCAGTTAAATAGTTAATTCAAAATTAATTTTTTCTTTATTTTCTTCAGTTTACAGGTTTGACAAATGTAGCACATTTTAACATTATTCCTACAGTTATGTAGTCAGAAATATTAAATGGTTTGCTACAAGAATAATGTCACATCCCATTTGAAACAGGTAGTAATTCAGCTGTGAGTTAATGAGGTAAAGTATTTTCTGTAAAATATTGACTTCCTTAATTGAAAACTACACTGTAAGCATCATAAATGCATTGACTGTTATTGCTAATAATCATTTTCTTATTTGATTAGGAAAGAGCATGTGTTTATAAGCTTCAAGAATTTGGAATTTGAAGTTTACCATTATGAAGCTACAAAAATTGAATATTTTGATACTACCAGATGCCATAACAGTGCTGTGTAGGTCTTTTGGCATAGAAATATGCATGAGTGTGAATGCATCAGTGCTATAACATAGAACAATATATATAAATACCCCTTTTTTTAGGTGGGTAGGGTGAGGATTACAGTTAAATGAACTAAATTTTACTACATAAATGTAAGTTCTGTTTTATGAACAAAAAAAAAGTCTGTGTCGTATGGCATTTGTGATCTGTTGTGACCTAAAATATCCTTTACCTGTTTTAATGTGGTGCTGGTCTGTTTATATATGTTACGTTTAAATAAACTACTTTTTGTGGTTAAATATATGTTTTTTTTTTCAATTATTATCTTTTTTCTGTGTAAAGACATTTTACAATTTGAGTAAATGTTTTTAGCAGGATTTAAAGAAGAAGAAAACTACTTGTTGTTATGGTTTCAACACTTTATGTAACACAGAGTTAAATAAAGATAACAATAATAAAGTACAACACATAGGTCTTAGTTAACTTGTTTATACACTTTAACATTCTGCTAAAATAGATGTAAAATATGAGAATTATACGAGGTCTTGCAATCAAATAACTTTTTTGACAAGTTAATTTATTAAACAAAATATGATCAGAAAACAAATTCATGAACTTTCTAGTTACTGAAAATACATGTAGTTTCAACTAGATTTTTAGTTACTTCTCACATGGGGTTTGTAGGTATAAAGCACTGTTTTCGAAAGTAGCATGAAATATATCTGAATAAAATACAGTTTACAAATAACTAATTTATACATTGCCTAAGCTTAATTTACCAAAGTGAAAGTGTACATGTGTTATGACATAAATAGCATGTATGGTGCATCTGTTACGCATTTTCAGTCTTACTGGATCAGATTTATCATTAAGATGTTTACAATTAACCTTTAAGTTCAGTTCAGTTGTACAGATGTTTTAAAAATTCCAGCAATAAAACTCGTCTAATTAATGGCCAAATCATGCTTAACTCTGAGGGATCAACTGACTTGGAAAAATATGCATTTTCAAATGGCTTGGCATTATCTGGTAAAGTACTTAATCTTTAGGATTCTTATTGTATATTTCTATTCTGGTTTAAGCCTTATGAATTTAGTTGTGTTCGTAACTTTTTTCAAAAACCTGTATGAAGAAGTTGATTTTATGAATTGTTTACATGTTTCTAATAAGACAGATTAATTTCTATATTGACATTTAGGATAATACAGAAATTAGCCCATATTTAATTTGATAATTGTGTGAATTATTTTATTTGGCACTTATGTAAAATTTGCTTTTAGTTCATGTTATTTGTGGATTTCACCTTGTACTTAAAGAATGTTTGATAGGGTTAACAGCTAAATTTTTCATTAAAGGTGTTTTTATACAGTAAATCTATAAAAATCAAAATTGCAAGAGTGACCTATAAAAATATTGCAGCGTTGTTTGATTTCTTGTTATATTTTATATTTCAGTGAAGCTGGCAATCTGGGAAGCCTCTTTGGAGAAGTACGTAGACAGTATTGACTGGATAACTGAGGTTAGTAACATTAAAAGTGAAGAAAAGTAAGAATATGGCATACTTATTTCTATGTAACTTCTTTTTATGACAAGTTTTCAAAGAGTTCAAAAATCAGGCTTATGTCCTTTAAGTGCTACTCTGCAATCAAAACATGCTTGTACATCTGAATGGCCTAAACTTTTATAACTTTGCATTAGAAGGTAGGATTTCATTCAAAATGTCCATAGTAGTTCTTTTCTTATTGGTTGTATTGCAAATTGGTACAAAAGTAGTAAAACTCTGATGCATTATAAACGTAATGTTTATTTAAGTTTGTACAGGAATGTTAATCTCCCATAATATGAAATCTCTTTGAAATGACCTGTTTCATTCCCATTACAATGGCATTTGTAGTATATTAACTGAATAGAGGAAATATATTTCTTTTATACATTTTTCAAGTATATATTTTTGGGCCACTCTGTACATAGAAATTCGAAAGTTATTATATCCTTACAATTTTATTCAGAGTCGGGCATGCTTAGATATTAGTAACAATAAGGTTGGGATTGAAATTATGCTGAAATCAAGATATTATTTACCTTTTAAAGAGGATTCATACTTCTGTAATACTTCAGCATTCACAACTTGTCAGAACTTTGAACATTAATTTGTTATTGACAGTAGTTCTTTAGATAAAAGAAGAAAAGTTTGTCTTTTTGGATGTACTATTTTTTTCCTCAAACTCTGTTTTACATTATAGTTGTCTTTAAACTTTTTTGTAAAAATCCTCTCTCCATTTCCTTCTCAGTACATTGGTACATCTCCATAACAAATTCTACTTTTAACATAAATGAAAGCAATATATGAGCAAGTGAGGAAGAAATAATACTAATCTGTCAGTGACATAATGAATGAAGGTTTTTTTTTGGGGGGGGGGGGGTGTATCCTCAAACTTAAAAACAAAATACATTTTACAATT